TGCCCCCTCTGCCTGCCTTCCTACACACAGGGATGCACTGCTGCTGGGCGTGGAGGAAGTGCCGCTTGAAAACTAACCAGCTCTCTTGGGCCCCCCTTCCTTCTAGAGCACTAGCCCATGGGATTCTACCGAGGAGGTCTCTGCAGAGGCTAAAGTTGGCCCTCCTGAAGTCCATCGTCGCAAGGCTACTTACAGCCCTGCCTCCTCCTCGTTGAATCCTGAACTCCACCAACTCATGGTCACTGCAGCCGAGGCTACCCCCACCTTAACATCTCCTAGTAGGCCCTCCCTATTTGATAGCACGAGGTCCAGTAGCCCACCTCTCCTCGTCGGCTCCTCCACAACCTGCGTCAAAAAGTTATCGTCGACGCTCTGCAGGAACCTCCAGGACTGCTTATGCCTGGCTGTGTTGTCCTCCCAGTTGATGTCGGGGTAGTTGAAGTCCCCCATGAGAACCAGGGCCTGTGACCGTGAGGCAACATCCAGCTGCCTATAGAAGGCCTCATCAACCTCCTCGTCTTGGTCAGGTGGCCTGTAGCAGACACCCACCACAGTGTCTCCCACATTAGCCTGCCCTCTAATCCTTACCCACAAGCTCTCAACTCGCTCATCCTCGACTCCCAGGTCGACCATTCCCCAGCGACCATTCCCCGAGCGACCATTCCCCACAGACTGTAACAGGTGCTCCAGCTGTTTTCATCAGAGACTCAATACTATCCAGAAAGGTTGTCCTTTCCCCAGCGACCATTCCCCGAGCGACCATTCCCCACAGACTGTAACAGGTGCTCCAGCTGTTTTCATCAGAGACTCAATACTATCCAGAAAGGTTGTCCTTATTTTGAGTTGGGTTAGATTTTATGATTAGAGGATCTGTAATCTGGGATGTAGTTTCCCATCCACAGAAAGCCTGGGAATAGGCTCCAGTGCTTGTTCCCAGGCCCATGGCTATTGTCCACAGAGCCCTGAAGTCACTGCAGAGAAGTAGAACTTCACTGTGCAAAAGCTTATTTGCCTATTGTTCATCTTCAGGGCATCCGGCCAGAAGTACAGATTGAAAATATGGGTGCTGTTTACCTGATAGAGGTTTGAAGTCTGGTGTGGGGTGTGTTTCCATGGAAAAAGAGCAGAGACAAAATGGGATTAGGGATGAATTTACTAGATTTAGACTTTTGCTAAAGCTTCAGTAGAGAAAGTATTATTGCCTTTAAAGTACTATTTAAACAAAATAACTTTTTAAACATATAGATATATATTCTGCCTAGTAAATCTGGTAATAACTTAGCCTTTTCAGCAAATGCAAAGTATGCAAGCTCCCTTGTCGTTTGATACTGATGGTTTAGTTATGCTTTTATGTTTTGAAGGGTACCTACTTTATTGCAAATGATACTGAGAAGAATCATTTCGACTCAAGCAAAAAAATTGAGGAAAGCTTATACTGGTTGAAACCTTTCTACTCTGAGAGCAACAGCTTTCTGGAGATCCAGGACAGGAATGACATATTTCTTTGTGATCAAGAGCAGGAAGTCCAGGTGGATTATATCCTTGACCACAATAAACTCAGCTCTGAAGTAGATGATGTGGATTTCTACTACTTGGTGAGCATAGAAGACAGCTGAATCTGAGGACAGGATTATTCTCATTGATGTTTTATCCTTTTGACAATAGCTCACAGATACTCGTAAAGGGTAAACAACTCCCAGTTCAGTGGAAGTCAGTTTGTGAGTTCTGTTCTGTCCCTGTCTTGACTTTCTTTTTCCCATCTCCTTATCCTTCTATTTTCCAGCTGCCTTGTCTTGTTAGGAATGCCATGAGTTAAATTTGGATGACAGATGGCTACCATTCACCCTAGTTTCTAGTATGTTCACATAGGCAACACTGGAGGACTGGTCTGCTTTCGGCCCCCAGGTGTGCCCCTGACTTCCATCTGGGCGGACTCAGAGAATATTTCTGGGGCAGCTGCACTTCCCTGTCCTGTATCTGTCCAGAAAAGAGCCTGAAGTTGCCCAGGGTCTAGATGCACACCAGGGATACATAACCATGTGTTGATGAAGCCCACTTTCAAAGAGAGAAGTCTAAAGGAAGAGAGTGTCTATAACCTAGTTGAGAGGTTGTGAGCATCTGGGTTGCTGAATTGGGCTCTTGTTTGTAAGAGCAAAAAGTACGGTACCTTCTAAGCTGAAGATCATGCTTCTGAGGCACTTAAACTAGCTGTAGACTCAGATATGTCTTTGGCTTTTTAAGTGGATGCTACTTATTGCCTTACAGTTACTTCTCAGGTCCCTTCCCAGCTGTGCTATCACCATCTCTGGCTAGAGAGTTCTTTATGTCATGTCCTGCCAAGTGACAACATCTGTCACAAGCTTCCTTATTTCTTCTCATGTTTCTTGTCCATTCATTGTGCTTGCAGAACTCATATCCTTGAATGACTCTTCTCCTTTCTCTTTAGGTGATAGCAAAAGGCAAGATCCTTTTCAGTGGAGAGAAGCAGGTGCCAATTCTCCAGCACGAGAGTAAGTAGAACGGAAGTACACTGTAACACATCTCAGAAGTGTGATTGCTATCCAGTGAAAAGGTCTGCAAGTGTTATTCTTATCCAGAGGCAGGAGCTATTGAATTCTTGTGTGTGGTCCACCTCATTAGATCACCACAGTCTTTACTCAAATCATCTCAGGAGCCATCTGTGCAAATGTCCCTCTCCTGTCTAATTAATTACCCTGATGACTTGACTGCTGGTTTGTACATTTTAGAATGTATAAAATTTGTTGTAGTTTGCCTGCTTGTCTAAGGTACAAGAGTAAAGAGGAACACTTTTATCAACTTTGAGCCAAAGAGGTGTCCAGTGTCCTGGGGTTATTGTTAATCTGTGACAGTGCTTGTTTGGTCTATTCTTATCTGCAGGTAGAAATTACTGAATTCCCTCTTTTGATTCCTCTTGAGTGTCCTGCCCCAGAGAGATGATTCTGTATGCTGTAGACTGTAATGAATGCTTACTCTCTCCTCTTCCCTACTGTTATGTTATGCAGATTTAAAAGGTTCCTTCTCATTGATTTTGACTATTGGTTATGACTTTCTGCCGGACATCAAGCTTCTAGTATATACAATATTCTCAGATGGAGAAGTTGTAGCCGATGCACAAGGGTTTGAAGTGGCCAAGTGCCTCAGACACAAGGTGAATGGGAATGTAAAACACAGTGAATGTGAAGAAAGAGTATGATAACATTTTAGATAAGACCTGCCCAACCTTATCCTCAGCCAATAAGTGTAACCTGGACACATGCCAAGTCAGATACCCAGTAATCTCCTTCCTTCATAAATTCCTAGTCCTGCCCTCCCTGTAGCTGAGTGACAGTCTTCTCCCAGGAGTAGATCAGGCAGGCACCTTGAGCTCTGATGAATTATTTTTACACACTATCTGTAATGCAAAGGGGAACCCTATCTGTCTATGTACCTGTGGTAGCCCTGGATTACATAGATGGGGCAGTATCATGGTAGGGGAATTCTGGCTGGGCTGTATGCATAGTAATCCCAATTACCTTCCCACTGGCTTTTCATTAAGGGGCTGTTTCAGCATCTTAACATTTTTCTCCACCTTACTTTCTGACTTTACCTCAGACTTTCCCTCATAAATACCTATGAGTTTCAGCCTTCCACTCCCCAGTGTTAAGCCCCTGATCTTGTCTCATTTTGTAGGTGACACTGAACTTTTCACAGAAGGAGGAAGTCCCAAGGTCAGAAGTTACTCTGAACCTCAAGGCTGCACCAGGATCCCTGTGCTCTGTCCAAGCTGTTGACAGGAGCATACTCCTTTTGGAGAACCATACCCTTACAGCAACGACTGTAAGTGCAACTTGCCATGACTCACCGACTATTGTCTGCCTGCCTTCTGTCTCCCTTGGCAGGAGGCTCCTGACAGGAGAAAGGCCACAATCTATACCAGGACAATGCTGCAGTGTTAAGTGGCTACCCTGGTATTTTCCCAGTCCTTTGCCACCTCTGGGCAGTTATGTGGTGCTCATGTTTGTAGTGTATCTGTTCTGCACTATGTGCCTCTGCCTGGAGAGAGGTGAGTGCTGCAGGACACTGTATGGGTGGGTGGAGACAGTAGCTTTAAAGAGTTGCTGTTCTCTCTGCACTGAGACAGACTCCTTAATGGTATCCTTCATATCCACAGGCCCCTCTGCTCTCCTGTCTTTCATAGGGCAGTAAAGCCAACTCTTGAAAAGTGATTTTTGTCCTAGTAAAGTCTTTCTGCCCCTCTGCCCCAAACACTTCTGCATTATGTTATGTATATATCTATATATATATTATATCTATATATATTAGATACATATAGCTATAGCTATAGATATATGTATATATCTATGTATATATTATATGTATATTATGTATATATTATATGTATATTATGTATATATTATATCTATGATCTACAGATCAGGTTGAGCACCTGAATAATTGCTTTAGGAAATTCTTTAGGAAAGAGTAGCCAGAAAGGACTGAACGCACTGTGTCCCCAAGGGGCATACAGTGGTTGGTGAAAAGTGATAGGATCTTGTTGCCATGCAGGTGCATACTGTTAATCCAGAGGGGTTCATTGCATTGAACATCCTTGTATTTCATAGGCCCTTCAGCTTAAATTTAAGACATTTTAGTTAAAATAAAAATATTGCAAGAATTCAAAATCCTGACACAGTTCCAAAATGTGTTCCACAGATAATATGTATGCATATGTCTCACATGAAACTTCTTAAATCTTCTAACAACAGATAAAAGGAGCACTTATTAAATAAGTAAATGTGTTCAGACTGAATCATGTGTGCTAACCTAATCTTTCACTACACAATTAAGAGGCTGAACTGACAGACTGAAGTCCACAGAATAAAAGCTTCTCATCTATGTCCACGCTTTTGGTGTTAAGTTCTTTAGCATAAACTGGGCTGGTATTAACTCCTTCAACTGTAAAGCTTTCTAAGGTATGACTGAAAATTTATGAAGTGTAGTAGATGTCTACAATTCAAATTACTCAACCCATACCCATGCTTGTTGGCCAGTTCCTTATAATGACCTCTGTTTTTCCATTGCAGCTGTATAAAAAGTTTTTTGATGACAACTTTATAATTGGAACACGAGGGTTTCCTTATCACTTGGAAGACTTTGAGGCATACCCTTGCCTGAATCTGCAATCCGACCCTCAAAAGAAAAAGATCTCGATGGCAGCACCCTGGTACCAAAGTGATGCTGATGTCTTTAATCTATTTAAGGTGAGTCTCTACACATGTAACAAGGTTTTTCTGAGACAGTAGCTGTAAGCATGCCATCCTGAATATTTACAAGAATTTCCTCTGGCAAACTTCAGCTACCATAACTCCCTGCTACAAGTCCTTTCTGCCTTGTTCTTCTCCAGTGCAGCCACACTTGTTTGAGCACTCTGTGGAAAGATGGAATTTCTGAGTAAATATAATGCAAACTCCTTGATTAGAGAAAGACTTGCCATGAGTCTGAAGTATAAACTCTTAGTTTAAGTAAGTTTTTAAGTAAGTTTTTAGAATAAGTTTTATGTATAAACTCTTAGTTTGGGCTATAGTGTCTACAGAGGGTGGCTGGCAAGAATGCCCCAGTAAGACTGGAGCACCTTACTTTAACTGATTTCTGTTTGGTTTTATTATATTGTAAACTTCTTCAGTCTGTGTTTCATTGAGTCTGCTCTTACTTCTCCAATGGTTTTAATAAAAAGCCCTTCACACAACTTGGTTTCATAGCCAACTGTCAAGATTAATGACAAAATAGCCAATACACTACCAGTCATGATAGCTATAAAAAAAAGTAACAGCCCAGTTGCAAACTTAATCCAACCAGTGCTGGTCCAGACAGGATGCTGCTTAAAGAGCCATACATAATTAAAAACACTTAAAAATATTAGAAAGGGTAGCAATACTCTGAAAGCAACCCCGAATGGATTCTGACTTGCACAGGCTTCTCAGACTGATGGGACTCTGCCTTACAAGTACCCTGTCACAGATCCTGTAGCTTCCTCTACAAAGGCACGATACTCTGGTGTCTTATAGGTTCTCACTCCTAGAATAAGTTGGATGCTGGAGATCTCTGAAGGAAATTCCAGTGTATCTGTATTTTTTATTATTTAACTTGTGGCAGATGACTGTGCCTCAAAAAGCAAGTCCAAGTCTGCAGGTGCGTACATCCTCCACAACAGGGTGAAAGCCTGTATCCTCCATGAAAGGTTGTGATGCTTTAGGAAAGTAAAAGAGTTCTCAGTGATGAGCAGACTATAAAATCACAGCAAAGTCTGTGCATAGGACCAAATGCATTCTTTCTGTGATGATGAATTCTCTCCTCAGGGCACACATGAGAGTGTGTTCAGCTGAATATTTCTATCCTTAGGAAGCACAGATTTTCATTCAAATGAAAGTAGAATCCAAATAAAGTAGTAACTGAGTTTCTCATCAGTTTTCTAAGTCAGCACTGTGTAGTAACTTGTATAAGAATGCATAGTTTTCTGTGACCAACGTCAGATCTCTCTGTTCTAAATTTGTGCATATATTTAACCTTTTTTTTTCCTAAGTCGTTCATGAGATGTATGGCATCTGACTCTAACAATGAGGTTAGAGTCATGCATCAGGTGTATGAGGAACAGAAGTGGCTGGAATTTACTTTTATGACAGATAAGAATTGGCCCTGATATTCATCAGAAATTGATTTCTACTCCTCACACACTGCTGAGTCTGAGCATGTGAATCTGTATGTATACAAAAAAACAGCACTTTTAAAAGTTTCTTTTGCACCAGACCACTGATTAATACTTGGTATTGTGATATTTTTTCAACATTCCTTGTTCCTTTCTATTCATCACTGATTTATTCCCTTCACTGTTTTCCCAGCTATTGCGCATGAAAATATTAACCAACACGAAAATCAAGAAACCAGTTCACTGTATGCAACCAGGCTTTACGAAAAAGATGTATTATAGCAGAGGAAATATTGTGAGTAAGTAAGAGATATGGTCATCTCTTTGCCTGAGGTGGCCATTCTGCAGCTGAAATAGCTGACTTCCATCGCGCTGTATTTCTTGTTTGTGTGTATGTAAAAGGAAGGCAATCTTTGTCCAGTTCAAAGTTCTCATTTTATAAATTGTAGATCAATACCCTAGCCTCTGTGCATCATTGGCTGTCCCTGGGCTGTTCAGTCTCCCTACAAAATGTAGTATGCTCTGCTACTGCCTTTATAGGTCACTTTAAGAAATACACTTCCATTTGAATATGTTGCTTCTTAGATCCAGAACAAACTTGATGGATATGTCAAAACTGAGCCTCACACTAAGCTTCATCTAATTCTGTCTCCCCAAAGACACAGACTCTGTGTGAGACTCTCACTGAAAAGCTAATCTTGAAGACTCTTCTTTTATGGCACAAAGCATTTATTTTTCTCACATTGCCTATAAATGAAATAATTAATTTCACCTGTAACTACATATGCTATTTTTTGATATATCGTTTCATTTCTGCAGATGTTACTGCTTTTCATGATGGCCATGTGCCTCACCCTGATAATACAGAGAAGCCGAAACCACGGACATATTTCCCAGAGACCTGGATTTGGGATCTAGTCTCAGTTGGGTGAGTAAAAGCCTCTGGCTTCTACCATAGAGAGATTCCTGGAGACTTCTGAACATTTTTGAGAAAATGCTTCTCTCTCTTTTCCTTCTATAGTGAGGAAGGGAAAGCATCACTCCAAGTAATTGTACCTGACACAATTACTGAATGGAACGCCAACACCTTCTGTGTTGCTGAGAGTGGCTTTGGGCTATCTCCTCTGACCTTTCTAACAGTGTTCAAGCCTTTCTTTGTGGATCTGACACTGCCATACTCTGTGGTCCAAGGAGAGACCTTCAGTCTAAAAGCTACTGTCTTCAACTACCTGAAGACTTGTATACAGGCAAGTATTCCCCCAGTCACCAATCTGTCATATAAAGAGATTGAGCCCAAAGACAACTGTGAGCTTCTAAGGAACCCTTGATATTTGCATCTGGTCCAGAAAGCAGTTTCACACTTCATGACCCATGGAGTTGGCTCCTTTGGACAGTGCCTCATACTAATGCTATACCAATGTGTTTTTATACTCCACCACACTCAGGTACACACCACCCTCACGGAGACTTCAGAACTAAAGGTGGTTCCCTGTTCAGACTGCCAGTTCACCAGCTGTCTCTGTGCCAATGAGGCAAAAACCTTTGTGTGGAATGTGACAGCTACCAAACTGGGTGAGTTTGGACAAAGTTGGACAAAAGGATACATGGCAGTTAGGGAGTTAGGGAGCGGGGGTAAAATTTGCCTGCCTCTGTGTGTCTGTTCCCCTTTCCTGCATATCCAGATCTCTGCTGCAACTGCTTAGCAATACACCTGTGTGTTCCCTGCAGGCAAAGTGAATGTCACTGTGAACAGTGTGGCACAAGATGCACACAACCAGTGTGATAATAGGATTACTGTGACACCTTTGCGAGGAGAAATGGACACAGTGATAAAACTCCTACTTGTCAAGGTTAGTTGAACCTTGGGGTGGAGAATACTTGAGGACAATGGATTGTCCCCCAAGGCAGTTAGCAAGATGTTAAGAGGAAGCTTAGCCCCTCCATCAGCAGACAGGCCTGCTGATGGAGGCTTACTTGCTTTTCTGTCTTCCCTATCTTACTATCATTTTTTCAAATGCAGCCAGGAGGTGTCCTTCAAGAGAACACACAGAACGCCTTTCTTTGTGCTACAGGTATGTGACATAAATCTTTAACTGCAGTCCATCATGAAAGAAGGGTGGAAGTGGCAAGAAGACTGCAAATACTCACAGGTGGAGGGGATTGGTCAGAGGGGTTGCACTATTGGCACCAAACTTGCTTTAGTTATATATAGACTATAGTTTTTATTTATGTCTGTCTTTTACTTCTCAAATACTCCCGCACTTAAGCATTTGTTTGCAGGCCTTGGACCGCTACGTTTCAGTGTCACACTGTGCCATAGTAATTGAGCCATAGAAGGGTCTCCTTGAGGTATTACTCATGTGTGTGATAGGAATAAATTTATGAGTTTTGTCTTCCTTAGAGAACACAGTCTCTCATGAATTCTCCCTGACTCTGCCTGAAGAAGTATTGGAAGGATCTGGCAGAGCCACTTTGTCTGTGATTGGTAAGAAAGATTTTCCCTATTCTTGGGCTTCTGTGGCAACAGTTTTCACAATATTTTGGCTTTAATGTTGCATCAACCCAATTTCTCCGCTATATAAAATCTGATGGGCATGATATGGGCCTCTGAAATTTATATTAAATCATCTTTTTCACAAGTTATTCCTCTAATGAGGATTGATGCTGAGTAATATCCAAGTGGCTAGAGAAGGTAAAAAACGGGGTATCTTCTTTGATGATTGTCACTGCCATCCACCTAATGGAACCAAAAGCTTCCCTCCTGGTTTCCATCTAGTTTGCTGCTATAATGCTTTCTCTCCTTAATACTATCTCAGAAATGATGGTTCTCTTAATCTTCTTCAGATTTCTTCAAGCAACACATTCCTACCCTAACCCCAGAATTATGCAGTCTTCCTTTTAGGTGCTGGACTGATACAGGAATGGTTAGAAGAAATCCAGGGCAGAGATTATAAATCACCCCAGTTTCATGAATAGTGGTCTTTTTTTTCCAGATCTCATAGTGTTTAATATTGTTTAATTGTCCTTTTGTTTAATATTGCTGAATGTCTGTGCTTTTCCTTTCTCTCACCTCCTCTCATCCCTATCTCAAACTTAAGGGGATATCATGGGCCCAGCACTTCAAAACTTAGATCAGCTGCTTCAGATGCCTTTTGGCTGTGGGGAACAGAACATGGTTAAGTTTGCACCAAACATCTTTATACTCCAGTACTTGAAGAAGATAAAACACTTGGTGCCAGAAATTGAAGATAAAGCACTGAAATTCCTGAAAACAGGTAAATATCGTCCTTTCCACCTGAAAAAAGAAGGTGCTATAAATCATAAGTAGAACGCATTGGCAGAGATGTCAAAGAGGAAGGTATCACAAAGAATGACAGAATTGTGTATCAAGGAGGGAAAATCATGTTTTTGTATTTGGAGGACTTCTATCTATTTATTGAGGCCTTAAGTCTCCTTTTCTGAAAAGGGGTGTGGACGATTAAAAATTTCTGCTATAACTGGCTTCTGACTTGGCTTGTTCCCTTGTCAGAGGCAGAGAGAAATCTCTTGTTTTCAAGGCATCAGCTGAAGTTAATTGGAATAAAGTGTGATCCTTAGGGAAGAGGAATTTGGTAACTTGGTGTTTCTTTATGTTTTAGCACATGAACTTCGGAGCATGTCAGTTCTGTCCGAATAGATTCTGCATTTGATATAGTGCTAATGCCTGTGTCTCATTTTGCAATACACTTTATTCCAGCAGGCACTTTATCCGGCTACTCTGCTTGTGTAAAAGCTGTCTCCACACAGAACATGACAGTTGGCAGTTTTCTGTCTTCCTCTTTTTCTTTCCTGTACCACGAGTGGACAGAAAGGAACCTATTGAAATGAATATTAGCAGCAGGATGGCAAAAGTGAACAGGGAGACCATGTGGAAGGAGGAGGAAAACATACAGACAGCATTTTGCCTCAGAGCTTGTAGACAGATCCATCTCAATTTCTGTGTGTCCCATATAAAGCATTTTCCTGATTTCCAACACCACCAGAACTACTGGAAAAAAAATAAACAGGATTTCAAATTTGTCCTCCCTAGGAAAAACCTTCCTCCTCACCCTTACAGTTCTTTTTATTCACAGCAAGGTGCCAATGAGGGTTCCCGAGGTAACTGAGAGACATGAAAGGACTGAGCATAACCATTCTGTAAAACCACTAGGACACTCACATAATGGCTCTAGCAATGCAAAGCAATGATGTAGTGCACTTTAGTGGTGCTGCGCAACTGTTCCTTGTTAATCTGTTGCTGTGGGATGCATTATAGGATCTGGTGAAGTCTCTTTCTGTGGAGCCTTCTTCCCACAGTAAAGATACAGCTTGAGAAGCTACAGCCCTTCATATATATACTGCATTGTGCCTCTGTACCCATCTTCATAGGTTACCAGCGTCAGCTGCTTTACAAACATCATGACGGCTCCTACAGTGCTTTTGGGAAGGCTGACACCCAGGGCAACACATGGTGAGTGACGAGAGTGGGTATTTTCATCCCAAACTTATTGTACTTGCTGTTTCTATTCCTGACTGTGACATGGGATTCCTCTGTGCTCTGTCCACAGGCTGACAGCTTTTGTAGCTAGGTCATTTGGACAGGCCAGTTCTCACATTTACATCAATAAGCATCATGTGGAAGATGCTCTCCTCTGGCTGCAGAAGCACCAGCTGCCCAGTGGCTGCTTCCAGAGTGTAGGAAAGCTCTTCAACAATGACTTGAAGGTATGACTCCTGGCCACAGTGGAAGGTGTGTCAGGAACACAATGCGTGGAGAGTGCTGCTCCCTCAGGTTCTTCCACTGTGCACAGTAACAGAAAGCAGTGTCTCCATGGCTCAGCACAGCCGAGGCAGCTTCCTTGAGCAGAATGAAAGAGCATGGCCTAAAACAACAGGCCTTTTGTCTATGTCAAATTTTAATATCTGCCAGATCTTCTTCAAGATCTCTCTAGCCGAATAGGACCATGGCCAACTGTGACATGGTACATTAGGCGCACAGGAAGAAACAACTTTATTTTCCAGTGTTTGTCTAGCATACGCTCTCAGGATTCTATTCTTATGCCTTATCACCCAGAATACAGACCCTCCAGGTCTGTTTATGTGCTCTACCATGACATTATCTGAAGTCATAATAATCTCTCCACTTCCAGAGAGGTGTTGATCATGGCCCATCTAGTATGGCTTATCCTTGAGCATGGTACCCCCAAAATGATGCCTGCAATCTAGCTGGAAATGCAATAAACTCTTGCTCTGATGCTCAGGTACAAACAGTTTGCATAAAGTATAGTAATATTTCAGTTCACTGTCCTTGTAAAAGTAAGAATAATCCAGGTTGATCAGATTGCAAATATACCCCTTTTAAACAGACATTAAGCTTATGAAATAAAACAGGTCGATATTTCAGTAAAGTAAAAGACAACTTTTTTTTTTTCCTTAAAATTTGGAAGCATTGCAAAGTAAAACCAGAACAGGTTTTGGTCCTCCATTAGACTCAGGGAAATCTCCACTATTATGTGTGAATAGTGCCTCACAGCATTTCAGCTCCAATTCTCTCTCATTTAAGATACTGCCTCATTTAAGACAGACTGTCTCATGTCTGAGCTTGCAAGTGGGATCCCCTGAGAATAAATATCGTTTGGTGGGTGAAGAGGCTCCTTGGAACCTGTTTACCCAGGTTAACTTGTGGCTTCTCACATTCAGCTGATTTGTATATAAATTTACATTTTCTTGTGTGTAATTCTATATCATAAAAGCTTTAATAAAGTTTCTAATTGCAATGTCTTTAATAAAATACACAGATTAACACAGTCCCTCATGCCCTTCTATGAGCAGGTAAGTTGAGGCTGTATGCAAAGAGCCCTGAGACTGCCTGTGAGATCAAGCTTTCGTGATAGTCAGACAGTGAGTCTCGAGTATTTTCCTGTAATCCCCACATGCCCAAGAATGGCCAGTGGTAAGGTACTGTACTTTCTCAGGTAGTACTTCACTTTGGTAGTTTTAGTGACTATAAAATGGCAGTCCACACTGTTTGCAGGGAAGGAATAGATGTTTTTGTCTCTGTTTGATGTCCCTCTGGTTGCCTTGCAGGGTGGTGTGGATGATTCACTCTCATTAACAGCCTATATCACTGCTGCACTTCTGGAGCTCCATCTGGAGAAGAATGTAAGTTGCGTTTGAATTTTTACATTACACTTGTGCATGATAAGTTCAAAAGGAAATTTTAAATGTGTGTGGGTAATGAGTTCTTAATATAAATGGCCTGGCCTGCAACAAAGTAGAGAATCTCCCATTCTCCACTGATCTCAGGAGAAACAATTGTCTCAGGCAGTGATTCAGGGTTTCCTGAGAGATTTAATGTCTTCCATAAACAAATTGATACAGCTGATGGAGAAAAACAACAACAACCAAAAAATAAAACAAACAAACAAAAATCCCAACAAAAACACAGCCTCTCCCAGCCAAGATTGCACTTATACAATCCTACTTTTCAGACCTGCAATAAAAGCAGTAATGTTCAGTCAGAATGTACATTGTTCTAGTATTGATAGGCTGATATGCCAGACTTACTAGTACAGGTTTAAAAACAAAGGTTTCTCCACTTTAGAGCATAGACATGGGTTTAACAATTCTGAGCTAGCCTGTTATCAGACACTTCCTGGACTTGCATGCTCCAGTGTAGTGACAACTCCCTGCCCCAGTGAACTGTCTTGTGACCTGTTTATTCTCAATCCACAGTGATATTTTGTCTGCTCTGCTTCATGCTCTGCACTCATTAGAGAGATGCTAGCACTGAAATACATTCAGACTGCAGCTTAGATAACTGAGAATTGTGAATACATTCTCATAGTGAAAAGTGGCCAAGGGAAACTCAGTGGGTTTGTATTCCTTTTGTAGGACACCATGCTGGATAATGCTTTACGTTGTCTCAAAGATGTAGCACTTAATGAGACCAGCCTTTATGTCAAGGCCTTGATGGCTTATGTCTTTACACTGACCAAGAACATGGAAATGAGAGAGCAGCTTCTTGATGAGCTACAGAAGGAAATCGGTAGGTTGTTGCTTTTAAGAAGATTTGGGGTTCTAGAAACAACTATGCTTAAGGCCTGACTTTGTTAGGATTTAGTTAGAGTGGGCTGGGAAATTTAAGTTTTATTAAATTGGCTTTTGGGACAGAAAACAGTGATTTGTGGAAAGTCTCTAGTTTCAATGATTTTTTTTTTTTCTCTCAGGCCCAGGAGAAAATTTCTGGAGCAAGTGATTAATATTTAGTCCTTGTGGTTGAAACACTTTCTTCAGTTATGAAAGAGTTTGATCCAAATATTGCCCTCATCATCCTTCAGCAATTCATTCCAAGAGACCTTAGAGATGAAACTTGCCTCATTTTATCTATTCAATTGCTGAGCAGGACACTTATTTGCAGAATGAGAGATCTAAATTCAAGCCTGTTCCCCATTGCTGCTCTACTCAGTTTAGCCTCTCTGGTGCCTGAATCTCTCTATTGCTAGCCCAGTGTGAACTAGGTTCTTCCTTTTGTCTCGTATGATAGTGTGGTGAAGGGCATTGGGAACTAAAAAAAGAGTAAAAAAAGAGAGAAAAAAAAAGAGCTAGAATTATTTTTCAGCTCGACCAGTTACCGCTACAGTCCACTACAGTCTGCAAAGCTGAGTTCATGGACTGGCTGATGGGCAAACAAGAGGGAGCAGTGGTACATATACTATAGCTGCTATTGAGGAAGTGTGTACGGTATGACACAACCCCATTGACCAGGTAGACTAATGCATCTAACTCACTAAGCAATTTCAAAAATGTCACCCTGAGAATCTAGGGCATGGGACAACAAAAAGTGCCTGTGATTCAGAGGACCTTTTTCTTTGGCTCTTGCTTCTGCTGGTATAGTTAGTGATGACTTGGCAAGAAGTACGGAGTTGTGAGAGAAAGTTGTAGTCATGTACATCTAAGTGTGTCCGTATTGTGCCTAATGTGTGTGAGAATGTGAGTGCAACAACCAACTGCAAACAGTTTGTCTGGTGGAGAATCGTAGCTTGAGAGGATTATCCTCTGTTGCCTAGAGATATATCTTCCTTGGCCTGGTGGCTGGGATTCTGCTAACTTTGTTAATGGTGTTACAGTTGTATCCCAAAGAGAAATTTGACGCTTCTTAGAGAATCACGTGTAATCTGTAGGTCATCTGTAGATGTTTCTCCGCAATAGCTTCTATGACTTCATGACAAAAAAAAATCTACTTATATCACCTTGGAAGTAATAAATCACAAATGTGTCCTGCAAAAACTTTCCATTGTGGTAAACATAATGAAGTAATACTAGTCCATAGAGAGCTAAATTTTAAGGACTTTATGCTGTGTTTATGCAAATGAGTGATCTTGTGATTCTTTATTTTCCAAAAGTTCTGAAAAATGATTTTGAATTTAAAAGTATTATAGGCTTCCACAAATGTTCAGTTCCAGGACATGTTTATAGTGCACAATTAACCTAGCTTCTTGTTTGGATTTTGGCTACCTGCTACTGTTGCTATAGTAAAGCCTCCAAAGGGATTCAAGTGTATCCAGTATCTGTAAAATTAGATTACAGACAGGGAGCCCAGCTCTGGTTTAAGCTGATCTAGACCATCCACTCTGTAGTGAGGATATCATTAAAATCATTTGGGTAGTGTTGCTCCTTTCGTAACCTGCCAGTAATTCTCCATAAAGTAGTGACCAGTTCTTGTGCAATAGGTACAACTGACTGGAGAAAAAAAAAAATAGACCTCAAGCTTCTCAGCGTAGTAAGCTGTGATGGACTAACCCAAGTGAATGTAAAAGCAGTGAAAATGCTCAGTTTGGTGAGGGTTTTGCACTGGAAACTTTTTACAAGAGTGTGCAAGTAGGCACTGAGTAGTTGTCTCTCCACACAAGAATCCTAAAATATCCTTAGGATCTCAAACCCAAGCTAGACCACTTAATGAGCTTAAGAGCTGCAGTAACAGCCCAGGAACATAAGCTCTTCCTCATGGAATGTCACCAAGGAAACAGTTCCTGAATGCAGAGAAGAAAAAGAAAAGTGTGGCTTCCTTAAGCTAGGCTGAGCTGAAGGAAATGAAAAATAGTTCATTATGGTCACCACAAACAGGGAGTAGCTTTCAATATTCAATGCAACTACAGCTGTACTTTAAAAAAATAGCCTCTGTTCAGAGACAACCAATTCCTGGATTTTCTTGAGGATTTTCTTGAGCACATCTGCAGTCTGGATTTCTCTGCTTGTACTTTCAGAGGAAGTAGAGCATAACATATCTGGTTGGCCTTTCAGAGCACAACAGGCAGGTTTTACTACTGCACTCTGAGGTGCCCCAGAAAGGCACAGCGATTTCTGATAGTGTAAAGCAAACTGCCTGCCCTGTAAGGGTAGCAGGGCAGGATGAGCTAATGTTCACGAGGGAGCTAATATCTTTCTCTTCTCCATGTTCCTGCCTCCATCAGCAGGGCTGTTGTCATCACACTCAAGTGGGAGAGAATCTTCTTCCTCTATGATTGAAATAGTAGCCTACACCCTCCTAGCTCATGTCTCCAAACCAAATGTGGCGGTTAATGAAACCACAATGAGCAGGCTTGTACACTGGCTCAGCGGACGAAGAAATGCCTTTGGGGGCTTTGCTTCCACTCAGGTAACAAACTGGGGAAAAGTATTGGAGAAGGACAGAGGTAGTGTGTGCCTTGCCTGTGCATGTTACTTCAGATCTAGAGTAGAGACGTATGTGATCCTTGCTTGTGTAGGGACAGCCATGGGGAAATCCTTGTTTGGTGGTGTAAATGGTATCAACCAGCACCTGGGATTGCTAGCCCCAGAGCTGAGAAGCCACTTCTGCCAGATGCCCCCCAATTACCTATGCATGAACCCTGCTTGCACTGGAATGGGAATCAGGGTCATGGTTCTTATATACTGCCTGACTTAGTGTGCTGTATCTTGTACTCGTAACTTACAGCAAAGTGACTTTCTCTTTGTGTTCAGGACACAGTTGTTAGCCTGCAGGCCCTGGCTCAGTATGCAGCCCTGATTCCTCATGAGATCAGAGATGTAAAGGTGATGGTGAAAGGCAAGGATGCTTCTCCAGTGGAGTTCCATGTGCACAGGAACAACAAATTCGTTCTGCATCAGGCACCTCTCCTTGCAATCCCAGGAGTGTACACGGTGCAGGCAACTGGGAGTGGATGTGTTTATGTACAGGTAAGTTTACATAGCACAAAGCTATAGAGTTTTGCCCTTTGTTGGGGCCTTAGTAAGAATATATAGGAAAGTGGAGTTTGTGGGGAACTGGACCGACGCCTAGCAACCAAGCACCTGGAGGAGAACCAATCAGCTGGGAGCCTGTAGCCAATGAGTGCTGCTCCTCAGCGCATGCCCACCTGCA